GCCACCATGCCCAGCTAATTTTTTGTATTTTTAGTAGAGACGGGGTTTCACCATGTTGACCAGAATGGTCTCGATCTCTTGACCTCGTGATCCACCTGCCTCGGCCTCCCACCGCGCCCGGCCTTCTTCCTTTTTAAATGTGAATAATACATTCTACATTATGCGTATCCATTCACCCGTGATAGATTGCTTCCACCTTTTGCCTGTGTACTGTGAGCAATGTTGCCATGAATATTGGTGTACAAATGTCTATCTGAGCCCTCGCTTTCAATTTAGGTGTATACTTAGAAGTGAGATTGCTGGATCGTATGGTAGCTATGTTCTTCCTTTCTTTGCTGTAGACATGGGGCACTGCCCTGTCTATGCCATAGGTCACTGTTCAGATGCAGTGGGTTGGCTAGTTGGTGTCCTCAAGGGCATTCAGTGCAGCAGCCTTCACCTCCCCCAGCAAACCTGGCACACAGAAGTAGTGCAGCAAAGATTTGCTAAATGAAGGATGTTTAGCAAGGGAGACCATTAGTAAACAAATAACAACAGTAAATTCAAGTGTTTTGTAATAGTGAACAAAATGGGATGGTAGGTAAAGGGAACAAAAACTTCTAGGGGACAGAGTCAGGAAGAGCAGGCAATACTTTTTCAATGTTTTCTCTGAAATAACAGATTGCAGATGTTTATGAAATCGCTCCAAAAATCGTTCCTATTATTTAATAAATAAGTGCTCATTCTGGAAATTCCGAGCATTACCAAAATGGGCAAGGCAGAAAATGAAAGCCTGCCCACGCTGTTAACAGTGTGGCATAGACTCTTCTAAGAGGCTTTTAAAATAAGTTTTAAAAGTGTCTTTATCCAGGCATGATGGCTCACACCTGTAATCCCAACACTTTGGGAGGCCAAGGCAGGAGGATTGCTTGAGCCCAGGAGTTCGAGACCAGCATGGTCAACATGGCAAGACCCTGTCACTACAAAAAAAAAATACAAAAACTAGCCAGTTGTATTGGGGTGTGCCAGCTACTCAGGAGGCTGAGGTGGGGGGATCATCTGAGCCCAGGAGTTTGAGGCTGCAGTGAGCCCTGATCCTGTAACTGCATTCCAACCTGGGTGACAGAGTGAGACCCTGTCTCGAAAAAGTGTCTTTGTGAAAGTGGGAAAATTACTAGTATGATATCTTCTGTGCATCTTGAGGGGTGAGGGAACAGCTTTTGTTTGTACAACTGGAATTCTGTTAAGAAAAGCTGCTATTCACAGAAATGAAACTGAGTCCCTTTGTTTATTAAATATTTCATGGCCAGGCATGGTGGCTCACGCCTGTAATCCCAGCACTTTGGGAAGCCAAGGCGAGTGGATCACCTGAGGTCAGGAGTTTGAGACCAGCCTGGCAAACATGGTGGAATCCAGTCTCAACTAAAAATACAAAAATTAGCCAGGCATCTTGGTGCATGCCTGTAAACCCAGCTACTTGAGGGCAGGAGAATCACTTGAATCTGGGAGGCGGAGGTTGCAGTGAGCCGGGATTGTGCCACAGCAGCCTGGGCAACAGAGTGAGGAAAAAAAAACAGATATTTTATAAGTTGCTCTTTTTTTTTTTTTTTTTGAGACGGA